CTATTTCTGTCAAAATCTTTTCTCAAATACTTGCTTTTGTTGGAAGCTGTCATTTTGTTCGATGACGATTACTATTTCTTGTTGAATTCTGCGCCAATATCTCTTTTTCTGATCGCATTTATCACAGATATGCCATCTGCTGCTAAAACTAAAAGTGGAAGAATATTTCGTGCGCCAACGGATCAGGTTTGTTTCTTTTCATGTGTTTCACATACCAAGCCTTGACACCAACAGTCACTTTTCCATTTTCTGTTATATAGGCAAGGAAACTCGAACGAAGGCGAGAAAACAAGAAAAACAAGCGAGATAGGCAGCAAATCCGGCAAACTATTGCCAAATGCTATGATGTCGATGACTCCACTACTAAAATGCTTGCTATTGAAAGACAAAGTAAGTGGTTTTGTTGAAAATAGTAAATATTTTGAGAAATTCAAAACTTATTTTTTTCTATATTAAACTAAGAGAAACAAATTTAGTACTTGGCCTGGACAAGCCTCAATTCCACATAGATGTTCTGAAGAAGAAGCAGCGGGTTGGAGCTTTTTAACTTTGTTTTCTTACTTTGATATAAGTGTATCTGAGGCTTCCGCTAAAGCGGGATGACTGCCTAAAAGCCAAAGCGCACTCCATACGTTTGTTTCTGATTTCTTTACTGTTTTCCTTTCTTTACCGACATCAAGGATTATGTAAATCCCATCCGTAGAAATAAAAAAGTGTATCTGAACTCATTTTCTAGACCATAATGGACATGGTTAATAAGAGGCGATCTGTGCTCCAAACACTAAAAGACGAGAAAGAATTAAAGGAACTAAATGAGAAGCTTCAACATTACTATGCAGATTGCAAGAAACTACAAGCGCTTGCAGGTATAAAGGAAAGGAGTATTGAATGTCATGAGTACAGTTTTATCAGTTTTATTCCTAGAGCAAGAGCGTTTGGCTCGCAATGCTGATGTAAACTTCATTCCCTTACCAGAAGGAGAGCTAGCCGAGGGAGAAATGCGAAGAGTTCAAATAATGGGACCTCAACCGTCGGCCCC